AAAAATATATATACACACTCCCCGATACCCTATAGGGTCCTAATGTAAGTGTACACAACTCAAGCTTCTCAACATCACTGAAGCCTGGCAGAATCCCCGGGTGCCCCTCGCTGTCACTCTGTACCTCTGCTCCCACCCCTCTCCCCCACACTCCCCAGGAGCGGGGACTGGGCCCTACTCAGCTCTGCAGCCTCTGCCACTCATTCCCACAACAACAGTTCTAGGAGACCAACACAGAGGATGTTCCCTGTGCTATGCTGCTTCACGCCCTTTATCCCAGTTCTTTCCCAAAATCTCCCTGTACCTCTGTCCAAAAAGTTCAGGAGTTTCAATGAGTCCTGGTATTTAGGACTGTGACGTTCAGGTTCTGTCCATCTCTACCTAAGCCCCAAAACATCTGGCTGTTCAATAAATGAAACACAGTGACAGCAACAGAGAAGAATGTAAAAGCAACACCATGTATTTTAGCATCAGAAAATGTTAGTATTCTTTTGAAGAAACATTGTTTTGTTTTGATTTTGGTTTGGTTTTAGAGATTTTTCTCTTCGTTACCTGTTAAGCTCCAACAATTAATTCTGTGAATGAAGAAAAACCATTCTGGAAACACAAAATTATTTTTACGCTTAATAGGCAAAACAACAGGACAAACTAAATCGGGCTGCTGTACTGTATCTACCAAAAGGTTCAACTGTATGCAGCTAGGGAAGATGAGTAGGAAAAGAGGGACAAAGTTGGTTACCTCATCAGAAGATTCAGTCAGCTTGGAAAGGGATGAGAAAAGAACCAGTGATGAAAGACAGAAACAAAGGCAAGTCAGAGGCGACTTACAAGAGGTTAGGAGGAGATTGCAGGTATAAGAGACATCATGCACGCTACTTCCAAGAACATGCACTTGCTATCACAACTTTCCTGAGAAAACTTGAGAATATAACAAGACATTTTACACAACTCAGAGAGGAGTCCAGGTTCCAAAGGTAATGAACAAGGAAGTCATTCAACTTGTATTTACCCAGTGGCTCTCTACTGAAATAATTCATACTAGATTAAGCACTAGCAAGTTAGCTTCTGTCCTACCAAGAAGTCTTAATTAACAGCAACGAGCTACTAGTGGGAAGTACCTGTAACCAAGCTTTAGTTAACTGATGTTTCAAAGGAACAAAACCCTAGAAGTTTACATGCGTCTTTATTGAACATTAATGCTATATCAACTCTCGCTCAGCTTTAAAATGTAACACTGCAATACTAAAAAGACAAGTACATACACTGCATACCCTTAGAGGGCACAATCATTACAGGGAAGTCTGAGAGTAAGGCTGGTTGACATGTTGAGATTTGTAACTGGTTTTCCCTAAAGACTAGAAGGATAAAACATGTTCTTATTTTCATTTCTCAGAATAACCACGGTCTGTTTTCAGAATGGTCCTTTTTATGCTGAGTTGCAATTACAGATTATTATAAAAGTAGCCGTATCTTACACGGGTTTGGCATTTTTACAGCAATGATTTCCAAACAGGATTTCGGGCTCTAAGATGTCTGCAATACCATACTACCTTGTTATTGCCACCATAGTTAAATTTTAGTTAGGTAATTTGATGCTACGAACAGATGTACTTCTGACAGAAAGCGAAGGCTGATGCACTGTGAAAAGTTTAGAAGTTGGTACTTTAAGGCTAATTATTAAAAAGACTTTGAAAGAAAAGGGGAATATTTATACCAATACAGGCTGGGGAAGGGTTTCCAGAAAACAGTTGCAACACTGGCAGTAAGTAAACTCAATGTAGAGTTGTACTGAAAAAGAACTGAAGCCTTCTCTAAGCACACTAGTTTCCATAGAAGAAACCTCAAGTATTCCAAATATAAGCCTCAGTCTAAAAAGTTATTCCTTCTAAAATATTAGATGACATGTTTCTCTACCTTTCTATGTGAAACAATCACCACACTTGATTGTTCTTGCTGTGATGCTGCATATATCGTGTAACTTGTACAAAGCAGACCTGTGGGCCATAATAGCATCACTGATGTTACTATTTGAAGTAGCTCAAACATTAGGGACACCTCTGTGTACCCAGATGGCTTTCATTGTTTCATGTCCCAAGTCGTCTACACTTCTTCCGTCTTGCAAGGTTCTGCTATTGCCAAAATCATGTTGAATGTCACAAAAAACCCCTCACAGACATTTATGACAATACATGTGTATACACTGACAAAAGAAACTAGCATCGTATGGCAAGTCATCACCTCATACTGCTTCAGTTAGAATTGTCTGCGAAGCAATCAAGAGCGCTCTCTTACCCTCTGAGCATTCAGGAACAGCTTGTGAATAATGCTACCAGCAGGTCCTCTTCCTGCACCAACAACTGACACTTCTGGCTGCTCCAGGAGACAGTTTACGAATCTGATGGTACAAACAATTCAAAAGGAAAAAGGGAAGTTTAATTCTCACCTGTATCCACTTTGCTAATCTAAAACCAGAACTGTTTCCCCGTGAGGAGGTCTCCACCTAGCATCACTTGCAGAGAGCAAGAATTGGCAGACACTCTTAAGAGTTCTCCGTTCTAGAAGTTTAAGGACAAATCCCTCCTATTTCTCAGTATCCCACTGAAACACTAAAATCACCTTTTCATCCCTTTACTCCTTTCCCTCTACCCTGAAGACTGCACCCCCAATAACCTTCAGTTGTTCCCTCCTATCTTGTCGCTCGCCCTTTCATGCTGATGCCAGCAGCTGTTCTTTCACAGGTAACAAAGGTCAAAACTACACTGGACACGGCAGCCTCCCACGTCAGGTCGGGGAAGGCAGGGTTATACAGCTGCCTGCCTTGCAACTCCAGCTGCAGGGCCCATTAACGCCTTGGCTGCTAGTCACTCTCTGAAAGGAGCTACGTATCTCAGATAACTATAAATGGAACCCAGGCTCTCAATGCAGATGTATAAATTAAAGAGAAAAAGCCTTCGGCCATACAGAAGTAACAATATAACCTTCTTTTTGAGCACAAAGATGCTGCGCTGGTCAGACATCGCTCCTCTGAACTCCAAGCATGTCCTAAGAAAATGTCATCTCTCCCTCTCAGCACAGCAGCAAGAAGTTAACTTGTTTTTCAGCATTACATATAGTCATCTTAAGCAGTAAGTAAATCAGGTAGTGAAGCAATGAAACACAGCTTGTTACTGTGCACTCACACAGTTCCTCAGTAATATGTTTCAAATTAGTAAGGAGACTAGGATAAGAATATGTAACTTTTCAGGTGGTATTTCATTTCATGTTAAATTGCAGAAAATACTGAATACACAAAAAAATAAAATAAATCTCCAGTAGTGTCAAGATAAAACCAAATTCCATTAAAATAATCTGTATCACATTTTCAAGGAGAACCACATTTTCAGATACAGCAAAATGATCCAACCCAGAGGATTTTGATCCAATGAGATTCCTGGATGAGAACAGATTAACTGGTAAAGATCTTACTAGCAGCGTGATGATTTTCTCACTGGGGAAACGTCAGTGTACTGGAAAGGAGGTATCCAACGTGCAGCCGTTTCTCTTTACCTCTACACTGGTGCATCAGTGCAATTTTATTGCTAATCCAAACGAGGACCCTAAAATGGACTTCACCTAAGCTATTTACTTTGAGTGTTACACTCAAGAGATACTATGGATTTCCTCAGTCAGACTGTCCAAAGACTGCCAGCAGTGAAAATCAGCTGTCAGCACGTGTCTAAGCAGCAAACGTTGCATCTTACTTAGAGGGGCATTTAGGGTGCCCACATGAAGTATCTCTAGGTGGCCTGAGGACGGGGATACCTCAGGTTTACGGCTACTAAATGTGTGAGTCCCTAGTATTTCTGTATTGTCACCACTTCCATCTGCCCTAAATTTTGAAACATCAAAAAAGAACACCAGAGGAAAAACAAAACTACAGAGGGAGGAGGAAAAAAAGTAATCAGTCACCTTTGTAGATCTTCTTTCTCCTCCTCGTTTTCACATTTCTCTACCCCAAATTTTGCTTTCAGAGATCTGGCCCTGGCGATGATAGCTTCCACACTCATAATCTGGGCAATGATTTCCTGCAGGAGTTTAATAAAAATGAAAATTAAATAGATGTTCTCTTAGCACTGCCATGACCAGTGTAAAATTCTATTCAGTTTTATCAAGTTTTTTAAGCCAGTATAAAAGCCTTACTTCCAACTTCTTGTCCTCTGGATTGGGGAATCGTAGAACTTTACTGGAATGGGATATTGTCTGCTTAATAATCTTCTTAACTGAAGATATGTCTTCTACTGCTTCTATTATGAGGAAAAGAAATGAAGTTTTAAGTACTGTCTCAGTCTTCACCTCAAAGTATCTTAATAACTTATTAAACAATATTTACCTTCCTCCTTTACCTTGAGTACAGCGGCATGGATAATGCAAGGCAAGAGATGCCGTGCAAGGTCAGCTGGTTTCTGAACTGCAAGGTAATGAAGCACCTATAACATTAAAGACATTAGCAATCAAAACTACTTCCCAAAGACGAGGTTAACTACAAAAGGTGAGCACCTCCACTGAAGAATGCTGCAACACAAGACTCGAGAGGTAGTTGTACCTGAATCCTCAGTGATTGTTTACAGTCCCAACAGGTCAGAATGAAACTAATTGTTTTAGGAACACTTTAGTTTAACGCATGTTGATAAAAATCTGTTTTATTTACTAGTAATTCAAAGAGGTATCTAAGCTTGTGAAGCTACATTCCACACACTGATTATTTTAGATACTTCAAACACCACAATGCTGACTGCATGTCAGCAAGGATTTCTAATTAACCCTAAGCCACATATAAAAAATGTTTAGATCTTGCAGGAGGACGAAGAAAGTTTTGTACAAGTATTGCATATCAGACTATTGCTTAGCCACTGAGCTTTTTACCTTCTCTGCCTCTCTAGTGTCATCGAAGAGTCTCTTTTGCCTCCGGGCTGGGACTGGTTTTGCTGTCTCCCAGGCTTCGACCCACATGTTGCTAGGAATCTTCATTCGGGCACTCAGCTCTCCCTTAATTACTACATTTCCCTTTTCATCAACCACTTCTTCTTCTATGTAATCCCGAGGGGAGTACCACCTCACAAAATCCTCCAGACAACAGCCAGGATTAGCTGCCTGGAATGAAGAGAGAAAATTTGTGCCTGAAAAATGCTATAAAAACCAGATGTCTAGAACACAAAAGGAAACACAGTTTTCGATTCAAGCTACCTCTCAAGAGTACACTTGTGCTTCAAATTATGGTTCTGTACTCCTGAGTTTTTATATCATTCGCATCGTATATATCTAATAGGATATGACTCACTGCTAATAAACATACTGTTACAAATACAGTACATCTGTATCCTTTTACTACAAAGTAACACTGCAACAATTTAAAAAAAAACAAATATAGAAATTTCATTACAGAATCCCCAATCTTTTTACAGTTTTGAGATCCTCTATTACAGCAGTTTATGTGCTCTTAGCTCCCTCTGCAGAGCTCAGAAAAGAAATTGAACAAACTACCCCAAACCACAGCTAGTCCAGTCCCAACTGGATCAACAGATGTACAAGACTTAAGAAACAGTGATAACGTAACCTTCCTATGAATCTTCAACTATACGTAGAAATTACATCAACCTCCCAAAAATCCGAATATAGAATTGTGAACATGCTAATAGAATTTATTTTTTTTTTTACATTTTATCCATGTGGAGTGCATTTTACAGAGCTCGACACAGTGGAAAGGACACATAGGGGAGACACTAAATGAAAGCCACAAGGTGGTGGCAGGGCGACAAGTTTAACTTTGATTCAGGACTGATGCTCAGTTTTCTTCTGACATCATTTTGTACGGGCTCGTCTGAGTTTTAGTTCCCAATTTACCAAATGCATGTTTGGGGGTTTTTTTCCCCTCCCACAGCCACTGTGCAAATTTACTGAAACACTGCAGCACAATAGACTGGATGGTCAGAGATTTGAAACGTTCTAAGAGTTTTATGAATAGGTTTTTATTTTCACCTTTAAAATCATTTTGAAACTGTTCTGTGGAGAGGGAAACAAACCAAACTTGTCAGAAACCCCTTCAAGACTGTTCAACACAAGCAAGAGAGACAGTTTAAGAAGAAAGCAGTCTCACAGAATTCTCCAAGGAGTACTACCTTAAAAGACTCCATATCTGAGAGCAAGCAGGCGCTCTGCATGCGCGCCCGAAGATGTGCACCTTCTGCTGATGTCCCTAGTTTTGCCAGTACCTCAGACTGCTCTTCCAGCAAATCTTCTGTCATGGGTGCTGGTTCCTGCAACATGGACACAGACAGCTTTATAAACAGCCTCTCCTAGACTTAGTCCTTATTAAGGAAGAAGCGGACACCTCCCTGTCATCAATACGTCATTCTACTGATTAAACTGTTTACCCTAAAGCTACTCATCCAAAAAAGATAATGACAGAAAGAAACTAAAAAGAAAACAACTTGAGAATGAAGAACAATATATACTCTTAAAATGCCAAAGTCCAGAGGAAGTCCAGAAGTGCTGACTGATGCTATCTTGAGAAGGATAAAAAGCCACCTAAGGCAATATACAATTTTTGCCATTGATACTGTCAGCACGTAAATTAATTGACAAGATTTTGCCTGACTACACTCCACTCGTACCTCCTACTCACGCAATGCAACATTCATTAAAAAAAATTTTCTCTCAAGTGAATGAAAATACTGCATTTTTCATGCACAGCTGATTTGAAACTAGTTCCTCTGGCACTCCTGCTTCATATTTCATCCCTAGTCACTCTGCAAAAAAGTCTGTCTCAGATAACATTTCTAGTTGTTTGGTGATAAATCTCCTTTAGGTAATGGTACCAAACACTGATGACTGTGGCCTTCTAGATATGATTTGAGAATTTTTATTTTTTTTTTAAAAAGAAGTAGCATCAAAATTGACATGGTACTCTGGTCAGTCAGCTAGAAATCTTCATGGTAGAAGGACTGCAGCAGTTCCTACTTTACAGGACAGACAAGAAGGAGGGGATGGAAGATGCCTCAGCAGGTGAAAAAAAAAAACCTCAAATTTAAGGTTGGCAAAACAGCATAATTCTTGTTTCAAAAACTTTGGTTTGAGTGAAATTTAGTAAGGAGACCCATTCTCAAATAAAAGAAAGAGCATGCGAGATTTCAGTTTACCAGTCTCGTCAAATTTCAAACATGGAAAACAAGGTCTTGGGGAAGAAATAGCAATTTTAACAAGAGGTAAGAGTATAACCTGCAAACGATATAGAACTTCACAATCCTAGGAATGAGCCATAATATTGCAGGAGAGTCATACTGCACATCAGACTCAGCTCGTGTTACCTAACCTGTGTGATTGGAATGTAGAGAGGCTCTCCTGGATGCAGCAGCATCAGCTTTCCATGTGGGTGCAGACGACCTTCTGGTTTTAAGTTTACAGGTTCTTTGTTGCCTTCTTTTGCTCCTCCTTTCTTTCCATTTTCCTGCCCATTTCCTTTGAGATCTTCTGTGTCACTTAGACATTCAAAAAATTCCTCCTCGCTGTCACTCCACGATTCCCAAGACTTGCCAACTTCTTTTTCCTTATCAGGGTTCTCTCCACAGTGTTCTGCTCCTTTTCCAGTATCACCAGGTGAACGATCAGATACGCTCCCCCTTTTCCCCTCATCTCTTGCTTTCTTTCTTTCTATGCAACAATTTAACATCTAACAAGTTAAAGGAAAAAAAAGATTGTTTAGCAATTACCTCTCCTATGGAAATGTCACAGAAAAACTTTCAGAGTCACCAAAAATCTCTTACAGTTCTAAAACATCATAATTCCATTGACTAAAGATTTTCCCAAGAAACAAAGTCCAGACCCAATAATACAAGCATAACTAAATCTACAAAAACAATATATTTAGCCAATAATTGCCAATAATTCCTTAGGAGAAAAATCATTCTTAAATTTGGGATATTTACCTGTAGTTTCTGATGCAGTAAACAGCATCTCAGATCTGGAGGGCCATTAGCTAATCTAACAAAAGTAGAAGTGTAACCATTATCAATTATAATTTGAATCTTTCACACACATGTGGTCTTAAGGCATATGAAATCCAAAAGAGGGGAAAATATCCACATTAAACCCACCCCCATCATTTCAACTATGTAGCTCTTCTGTGGTCTCAGAACACGAGTGAGTGAACAAGCCCAGAAGTTAAACATTTATTTCCTAGATGTCATTTCTGAAGCTCAGAGATCATGAACACCAGTACAAGACAGACACACTCTGTATCTCCTGTGCAGTTTTCCATTTGGATGTTAAAAGCTTAACTGTTTGCAAACTAAACTCAGGCTTCTTTGACTTTATTTTTAAAGCTGCAATGATACAGTAGATTGATCTCTACATATCTCAAGCTCCATTGCATTTTTTAGTGTAACCACTTGGAAGTACAAACTAGCAAATAAACAGCCAGTCCATCCCATTCCAAAAATAAATAAATAATAACATATTTTTGCGCTAAATTGATATTTCATCTTGTCAAAACCCTTGGTTTGGTCTGCAACAAGCTCTGCTGCAGCAGACATACCCTGGCAGGGCTGGAATACTGGAGACAGCATTAGTGCTTGAAAAGGCAGCTACTGCAGCAGCAGGCACTTGGAAAAAGCTCCCTTAGAAAAGCGGCAAAACTACACCAGAAAGCACTCCTTCACGCTCATCTAATGACAAACCAGAAGCCATGCGTTCGCATATAGTTATTTTTTTTTTAATCCCTGCCCTCTTTACACGGCGGAGTCCTCTTTAACTTGAGCTTCCTTCAGGCATCCTGAAGTTTTCAAAGGAAGGCACAGACACTTTCCCCTGCTCCCTACCCTTTCTTGCTTTACGGAAGTAGAGTAATAAAAATAGCGGATAGTATTTGCAATGTAAAACCCCCCAGTATGATTTAAAGTTATGGTGAACTCACTAGGTTCCTGCAACAAGAATGTCTTCCATGACAAAGCAACAAAAAAACAAAACATTTTAAAAAAAATCTTACCCTGGAATAAGGTAGTTGTTCTCCCATCTGTAGCGCATTTCTAACACAAATTCTTGCCAAAGATGTGCCACTCCTTTTACTCCTCCATGGTAGAAGTTTATCATACAAAGACATAAAGCTAGTTTGTACGTCAGACTATCAGAAGGAGCAGATTTAAACTGACTGAAGAGATTCTACGTAAGAAATAAAAGAAAGCAGGAAATACAGGAACAATGGCATTTTTTTCAAAACTGTACTGTCTTTCCTCTTTGTCAATACATGTGGCTAACTACCATTTTAAGCCCATAATTACAAGCTACCAAAATGTACACTCTCTGGAAGGAAAAAAAAGAAAAATAAAAATCACTGTTTCCAGTTAAAGATTCCACAAAGGCAAGTTCTTTCAAAAAATTACCTATTACAAGACAAAGGGCAACCACAGAAAGCCTGTATGAACACACACTCAAAACTGCTTTCTCTCTTTCATGAGTGTCAGTCAGTAGAACTTACATAATCTTCATGCTCTGGAGGAGGATTGTTCCCTGCTGAAGTGTTAGTTCTGCTTTCAAATCCATCTGCGAGTTTGTCAAAAGCATCAGGAAATAAGAACTTGAAGAAAGAAAAAAAAACACCAAACTTCCATTAGCCTATTTTTCCTGCTTTTCCCACTTTCTCCATAAAGCTCCTGCTGCTTACATACCAGTAATCCCTATCATTAAACTCTTAGCAGAGTTCAGAGTTCGTTTCCAGACCATTAATATCACACAGACTTGTAGCAACTTAGGCTATTTCAAGAAGCTGGTCAATGCAATTCAAGTAATGACATCAGACACTTCTGTGCATAATTCTGCTATGATCTGTAAGTCAAACGCATCAGTGGAAGCATGAAATAAATGTTTTACGTGAATTTAATGGGCATGGAGAGCTCACTTACCAGAAGAACAGTGTTCAGAACTTCATTGTTTAAAGGTGATTCATCTACACCTCTGTGCTTGCGAATTTTTTTCTTCGCACTGTGAACCATATTTGTGACTGACAATTTATGGATCGGGACTGGTGCTGGCTCTGTGAGCTTCGACAGAGCATGGGTAATATCAGCAACCTCTACCAAAGTAAAACAAAAATAGTTAGAACAAAACAAAAAGAAAACTGCAAGAGCATCTCGCTTTAAAAGTCCCCCTGTCACATTCAGTCTGTTAATCTTATTCTGCTTTGTAACACCCTGTTAAACAGAGCTACACCCCTGGCTATCGGGTTCCACACCTGGTATTCACTGTTCTTAGCTACAAAGATAAGCAGCACCATGAGGCGGCCAAGGAGTCACAGCCTGTTCTTGATTTATTTTACTGAATGAAGTCTAGACTGGGTTGGCTGTAGGCAGTGCCTGCCACCTACTGTAGTACTGCTGCATGCTTGCCGACAATTCCAGGCAGAGATCAGCAAAACGCCTGCTGCAGAGCCAGTGTTTAAACTTCCTTGTACACGACACCAACAAATACACTGCAGGTCACAAAGACAGCTCAAGCGTGTGCTAAAGCTTTAGATAAGCCTTAAATAAATCCAGTATCAACCACTACATCTCTGAGCTTATAGTGTGTAAGCAAAATTCCATTGCAGAGTTCTCAGGCAAATTCCTCAAATCAAGAGTTTTTACAAAGTTGCTGCTGGTAAACTTTAGAACCTCTTACGTGAAATTAATTACCATTGCTAAAAAGAGGGCAGACAAATTTAAGTGAATAATTACCAGCAGGCTGAAAAACCTCATCTTGGCAAATATTTTAAGAAAATTTGAGATGAGGAGGGCTAAAGAGACTGTATGTCAAGCACTAGGAGTAATACGTACCCTACTTGGTCTAACACCTTTTTAAGCTAACTAGCACGGCTCCTTCGAAATGTAAGACCACGTCTAACCAAAGAAAATACACTGACAGAGGCCATGGTTGAGGAAAAGAAAAGGTGACAAGGCAGGAAGGAAATACTCACCATATACAGCAAAGAGTGAAAGAAAGGGACAGAGACATCAAAAAATGTCAGTATATATATTGTTGGGATAAAGTCTGACCTGTTGGTCAGATAATTTTTGTTTGTTTGGGATTTCTTAAAATTCCTCAACACGGAGAGGATGGCAGCAAAGCCTTTCAAAATGATTAAAGCATCTTTAAATTGGCTGTTAAAACATGCACTACGTAGCACTTCAAAAAGCAGAAAAAAGTGGAAAAAATACAAAAATACATAAAATGATACAGACAAATCTGATGTGTGCTTAAAACCAACTCTTGCTCACACTAGTCAAATTTTAAACTCTTGTTTTCTAGTGAAAAAAACCAGCTAAAACAGAGGCAATTGTCCTCTGGGAGCTAAGATGGCCTAGAATTCATGAGAAATTACACCATGTACTACCCCTGGCCAAAAAGTCTTAGAGTATTACAGAAAAAACATTACAGTTCCAGGTATAAATACTAACCAACCTGAAGTCAGGAAAAGGTGACAGGAAAGGTAAAACCATTAAAAACAAATTACACAAATAAAAAAAAAATTAGTTTTACCTTTTCCTTCCTCTTCAAATGCAGACCTCCCAAGTATCTCATCCGTTGACTCCTTCCGTCGACAAAGCTTGAAGAATTCAGTAAGAAAGTCACCTGTAAGAGAAACAAAGTTTCTGAAAAACTACTCAATTAAAGTATCATTGAACAATATGCTAATTCTCAAAATTATGCCCAAGGGACAGGAAATTTTATCATTTCATCTGAAAGAACATGACAATTTGTTCTGAAGCACAAATATCTTTAAACCAGGTAATTAAAGCTTAGGAAAATGCACACCTACGCATCAGCCTACCCAGGCTATCAGCTACCTCTTCAGAGCACACTTCTACCTGCTGTTTAATCCACTCCTTCACCCAGAGCAAGACCAAACCTGTGCAACATGTTATATTTTTCTAGTTTTGAAGCCCTTTTCCCCATGAGCTAAAAGGCAAGGATGGACATAGCTCTCCAGGACAGGCAGACCGATTCAACTAAGGAAACAGATATATGCAGAAGGCATTTAATAAAATTTAAAGATTTCAGGAAATTCAAATTTTCACAGAACACCCCAAGTAAATGCTTATTCTCTGGAAGGTGGTGAAGCAAGAAGAGCAATGAAGTTTATGGTGCACAGATACAGAATAACCTACAACAGAAACATACATTTTTGCAAAGCTTCTGTCCTCAAAAAAGCCCAAAATATTGTCCACTCCAAAAATAAGGGGAGTGAGGAGTCAGAGGTCATCAGGTAATCAACAACTCAACTCTAACTTCACAACTTAAGAGTTTAAAAGCCGTAAGAGAAGACAGGGAATTCTGATGTCTTACCCAACAGACACTGGGGGTTATCTGCTTTTCTGACCCTCACAGACCACTGAGGTGCTTGAATAGGATCCAGGTCACTTAAAAAAAACCACAAAACAACACATATCATGCTGTCATCATAAGTATGCAAGAGATGAGTATCAATTCTCAATAAATGGAATGCTACAGCCCGTTAGGCCACAGAAGTCATAATATACACCACATTAAACAGGAGAACATGGCAAACACTAAAATGCAAGAGTCCCCATTCTCACATACTTACATAACATTAATAAGAAACACATAAGAACAATTCAGCTACAATGCAAGCAAACTGTCTTAAAGTGTATTAATGTTGAAAATTCATTTCTGCATTAATTAAAATAATCAACCAGTATTTTTTCTTTCTGAAGTATCAGTATACACCATTCTTCCTCTTTAGGAGGCTTAGCAGAAATCCTGTATGATAGTTTTTGGGAGAGGGAAATCACTCAGTTCATTTCCCCATTCAATCACCAAATTTCCCAAGAAATATGCAATACACAAGTCTAGCATAAGAGTATGCCCCAAAATGGAAATTCTGTTGAGATAACAATACAATAATATTTTCTCGCACAGAAATGTATACTAAAAGCTGCTTTTCCCAAGTGAGATGTACTATCAACTGACCTTATCATTCCTCAAGATGGGTTTTCTTTCACAGAGAAAGCCAGAAAGTCACACGTAACATTTTGCACGTCACTAAAATGCAGTAGGTAACACATGAAGTACATATATAGATATCTGCAACTCATAGACAAAATACTTACGAATAAACATCATTGTCGACAATTATACCTTCTGTGAGGTGAGGCCACGTGGTGGCCAAGTGAAGCTCACTGAAACAAAACAAGAATTATATTTTTTGGCACTAGTAAAAGGCGTTTTCTCCATCATACTTAAAATCTTGAAATGAATTTGTGACAGTTCATATCTAATCCCTATGTATTTTGCAGCTACATCCAGAAACTTGTATGTTTTCCCATGAGCTTTCTCACTGTATTGGTTATTCTACAGCAAGTCAGCCAGGAACGCACTAATTTTACTAGTACCTGGCTTACAGGGCTATCTCGCAGCTCCTCCCTACAAAAGGAGGGATTGTGCATTGTATTCTAGATACCAGGTACAGAGGAAAGAACAAATTTCATTAACTGCCTACAGCATTAAACATCATCTAATCCATTAAAACAATTCCTAGATTTGCCCAGTGATGATGATGGGGTGTTAGGAAGAGAACACAGAGAGACACTAATAACGCAATTTAGAGACCTTCTCAATTTAAGTCTTCTACAAATGTCAAACACGAGAGCAAGTCCATTCCTTGAATGGAGGCCCACCACTTTTAAAGTTTTTCTCCAGTTAAGGGATATTTCAGCATGTGTCAGAGATAACTGGAGTAGTCCAGAAGTTTATGGTGAAAGATTTATAAGCCAGAACTCTGAATATCATCAGATAATTTCACAAATTATCTTATATCCTATCAGACCATTGCTTTTCACAGATGTTTCTTATGTACCTGAATAATTAAATCATCTATTAGGGAAATACTAAGTCACAGGCAGGTGCAGCTAGGATTTTAAATAACATACCTTGAAGTTTTCTGTTAAAGAAGTTATAGAACAGAGTTTTCTGAACTCTTATCTTACCTAATAGGATCCTCACAGGCACCAAAAGGTAGCTTCCCGAACTCAAGGCCTCCAACTTCTCCTCCAACTAGAGCATCTATATCTGAAGACAGATCAATACATTTTCCATACAGAATTTACAAAATATTTTAAAGAAGCATATTGTCTTAACTTCACAGGAAAAAGACTGTAGCAGGTGTGATGGTCAGGAAATAGCTAAGCAGCTAAACAGACAAAGCTATGAAAATGTAATTCCAGCATACAGTCAAAGTAAATGTTTCCAGCAGAAACTGGGAAGTAGTCGTTCAATAGGACATTCAAAAATACAGATAAAACTCCTGCAATCGCTATTGAGAGGTTATACCCTTCACAAAGACAAAGCTCATTGCTATAAAGGCAGCCTTAAAGAGTCAATGTTGACATAAGAACAAGTAGACACAAATTTGCTATAAAAATATTTAGGCAGGAAAGCAGTTCCAAGCAGAAAAGGAAGACTCCAGAAGAGCAACTCTCCAGGGCAAAAAAACCAACTACTTCTAAAAGGCTGCCAATTTTAGGAAAAGAGTGGTATGTCTCCCACAGTTAAAGACTTAACATAATAATCTGAGACTCCTTGTAATCCCAGGTACTTCCCATGTTATATCCTTCAAATCTATAAACAAAAACAGGCATCCTTCACTGAACAAAAATTTAAATGGGTACTAATGTATTGTAAAGCCATTATAATGCTATCACAGCATCTGATCCTTCATTTTAAAGGCGTGTGGCAAGCTGTTTACACACAAACAATTTCTTCTTCAGAGAAAAGACATTTAAATGTTTAGGTTTTATTTGAGAACAGCTAATTGAGTGAGAGTAATACCACAACCACATGTAGCAACAGCAGTAAAAATGATGCTTTCCAGCTCCAGTTTCTGCAACACACGGTGCTGACAGCGCCCTTAACCTAAGAGCAATCAGCTCAGACCAAGAGGTATGATCAGAGTGGTACAACTCATTCATCAAAAAACAGGAATCTTGACTTAGTTAATAGCTGCAGCAAGACAGAGCGAAATTACAGAAAAGAGGGACTTCTGTGTCTGCAGAAATAATAAAAAATAAAAATCTGTCCAAGTAGCTTCCCAGGTTCTTTAGATGAATTTGGTTTACCTACAAAGAGAAACTATCACTCAAAACAGCACTGATATTCTCTGACCTTAGAGAGCAGGATTGTCTTTTAATATATTTTCAATGTTACTTAGGCACAAAGCACACAGGATCAACTTTGCTACAGACTTCTTCAAAGCACACCCTTGATTAATGTAAGAATTATTTTTAGTTTTATAACAAAGGAAAGCCAAACAATTCGGTAACCAGATCAAGGTCATTCAGGTTCTCTCTAAGTGTGCCCTAAATACTTTAATCTTGTTATGTTAAATTACCACCAAATCAAAACTTGAACTTATGCACTTCAATTGCTCCAGCACCATGTGCCAAAAATACCACATAACTAATAAATCTATGTTAAGAAGGAACTAACATCTACTTTTTTCTTAAAAACACGTTTACCTTTGAGAGAGAGTAACTTCATAATTTATATCCTGATGCTATCTATATTGAAATAGGTCTGTTAAAAACAAATCCTTGACACCCAGGGAAGAAAGTGTTACCACCAAGCAAGTACAGGAGTTCATTGCAAGAGTACCAGGTGAGCAAATTCACTCTCTTTTTCCCAAATAGCATCGCTACAGCAAAAATCTATCACATCTCGTATATGTACTTTAGATTCAAGACTATACATTACTTTTCCTCTTATATGAGGCTACTACAGTAAAAGCCTTGATCAGAAATTTTTCCTGCATGAATAAAAAACCTGAATAAAGTAACTACAAGAACAAAAATCTAAACTTTAATCTTAAGTGAGGTCCATATAGTATTTTCTAATTTTCCCACTGTTAATACACTTAAATAATGTAGTATTGTCAGCTCATTTATGAAAATAATGGACAAATACTCCTGCAAAGTATTAGCATCTATCAGAACTCAAATCCAGAAGTTTCCCTGCAGAGTCCAGGGCAGAATTCTTTACAGGTCTTTCCTCTGCATACAGCTACGCCTATTTTGGAGGTATTGCTGTACAGAAGTAGTATCACTGTATCTCTAAACGTTAATAAAAAAGCGTATTTCTAGGAATAGCCCTAACTGAATCACCTGTTGCAACCATAAGCCACAGACATTCTTCTGGCAAGATACACAAACATTTTGTTTAGCACTGACTGTTCATATTCTGAGGACAGAAATGTCCTACCTGGTGGCTGCTGTGGCCAGAAATACTGCTGCCAGTCTTGAAGCACATACGTAAGTCGAATAGCCATGCTCACTGGAGGCAGTGGTGTTAAAGGACATCCCTTCAGAACATTAAGAGAAAAAGTTCAGCGTGAAGAGTACATTCTCTGAAATACACTAGGCCTCGAACATAAACGAGTTATGACAGAGCTTGTCTTGGAGCTAATTTTATCTGCAACACCCCAAGGAGTACTAGTAAAGACACTGACCAACAAGACACTGACAGGTAAAAGTAAGCAGATAAGCTTTCTAAAATGCATGAGCTCAGTTAACCAGTAACTCACAAGTAACTTTGACACAGAGTGTACTAGGTTTTTATTAAGGATTTTTTTTCCATAGGATTTTGATGAGATTGCTGACTACCACGATTAGTTGTGAAGTGTTGCATTCAGCCACACCACTCCATAAAAAAGCAGTCCCCTCCTCACATTTCAACACGTTGTTCTTCACTCTTAACTTAGCTATGGAGAGCTACAAAATCATCAGGATAAAAACCCATTCCAATTCTCCTCTCTCCATTTAAACAGCAAAACAGTTTGTTTTGGGGAGGGGGCTGAGAAGGCTGTGACAAGGAGACTAAACCAGACACATTCTTTCATACACCAGTGGAAAACAGAAGAAGGTGATAACACTTGAGGAACAAAAGCCACACCTATTGTCACTCTTTATCACTAGATACTGGCAATATCTGGAAACACTTTACCAAACAAAACAACAAACCCAGAAAGAAACCCACCCTGGAACACAAAAGTGAGTCTACAAGCAACGAGGTAATAAAATAAATATTCTTAATATTAGTTATGTACGTTCAAATGCACTTACAATCTTGGATTTGAAGACATCCAGTAATCCTGATAAATGAGTATACTGATTTGGCACTTTGCGAAGATGAACCATTTCAAAGTCAGTTCGAACTCCTGGACCCTGACATTCTCCAACATACATTCGTCGCCATTTATGATGGATTTGCACAAACAGTGGTACCTGACTAGAAAACATGAATATTTCAGACTATTTAACATGTTATACTGTCTTGCAGTCTTTAAAACTAGCTAAATACCTTAACATAATTTCAACATAATTTTGTATTTTTAGATACATTTTCTCTCAGTGGAACACAGTTTAAAACGCTTAATAGAAATTACAGAAAAAGACTGTTAACTTCACCATTAAATGTAACACCACACAAAGTGGCATGTGATAAACAAAACTCTATCCATCCCTTCAGTTACCTAATTTTCAGTCTGAGTATTCTAGAGGAATGTAAGAAAACTAGTCATCACACATCGGGAAGAAATACTCTTCCAGAATTTATACTTTGTACATCACTTATCCAAACAAGTTAGAGCAGCTTTTAAAAGCCTTTGAGGTTTTTAAACAGTAATGAATATAAATAATACACTGAATCAATCTTAAGATTCCATGGAAAATTATCTTTTTAAAATCCTTCTGTAACAACACTATGGTGCAAATACAACAAACTCTGAATGTATTTTGTTAACAATTTAATACTTTTCCCTCACAATAGCAGTATACAAGTTTCACTCAGAGCTGTATCAAGGTTCATGCTTTCACCTACCAGCCAGTGTTCCCCAATGCAATGGAAATGGAACTCAGCAAGAGGTTACACTTGGATTCACTAAGAACTGCATCGTTATTTGCAGCTGGAGCAATAACCACAAACTCCCGTAAACCGTACCTTAAGAGCGAGAGAAAAAAGCACATTTCTGCATTTTAGCAAACGAGTTGCAATACAGAATTCTTAGAAATATTGCAGTGTGAATAACCTAACTGTTACCAGCAGACTGTGCAATCTGCTATTTGGACATGAGTACCTCTTCACAGGGGCCAAGAACAGAGTGGGCATGCAGTGCTGTGGATTCTCAAAGCAAAAAATACTCAAGAGATTATCAGCATTCAAACATGGAACTCAAAATAACATAAAGACTTCCAGACCTATCAGTCCCAAGGTTTTTATTTTATGTTAATAACAAGTGTAACTATTGATAAATAAAAGTAATCTCTCTAGAACAATGCTATAATCTAACGATTTGCAATGGTAAGAATACGGTTGTTGCTGTTTCTTAAGGTGCTGCAGCTTTTCTTTTTAAGAATATAGTTAAATGTTATAAATACAAAAGCTTCAATAGTCTACGAAATTCAGGAAAAAAAATATTTGGGAGGGGCAATAATAATGATAGGCCCACTATGGTAGGGTTTTTTTGCACTCCTTTCCTGTGTCTGGTATGAAGAGTAATTTTACTTAAGCTTTAATTCTTGATGGAGAAAAATATACAACTGATTGTGCCAGCATCAAAGATTTCTCAATTGCTACGCTTACTTGTATTAAAGACAAGAGGCAGCATACGTACCATCTTACCAGACAGTGAGCTCTAGGAGGAAAGTCATTGTTCATGCACAGCAAGTCCTGCATAGACAGAGGAAGGGCATCTGTGAAAAAAATTGATACATAAGAGCATCAGCATCATTCAGCTGACTTACTATTTACTTGTATCAGCAATCTGTTGATGGCAAAGCATACTAAAAGCAGAAATGCCAGATTACACCCATCAGATTCCAAAAACTTCCATACAGAAACAAACCACACTGTGAATTCGACATTCTGAAACTGTCTTTTGTCATATGCTTACAGGCATGTAAGAGAACTATCAGCTACCTTCTGCCAGTTCCTCTTTCCCATCTTTGTCACCAGGTTCTTGTACAAGGTAATGATGGGTAACTGAGAATTTGAAGTCTGCAAAAAAGATTTCATCTGATTTCTCTTCCCATGTTCCTGTGGTGTATACACCCTGCATATAAAAAAAGATATTATTTGATCACGTAAATTTATGTCAATATTTCTAAGCCTTAAAAAGTATATTGCCTACATGATCTGTAACATTTATTCACCTTTTCCTACTGCTCAATATTTGTTCCTAAATTGCACACTTTATTTGCAAACAAAATTACGAGAGCACTTCACTGTGAAGGTATCTTAATGCTAAAATCTGTGTTTCTAAAAATACATGTCCATAATAATGTTCATTTCGAGGAAGTATTTAGAATTATATGGCAATAAAAAGCCAGATATATCCTCTCATACGCAACTACGCATCTTAAGTGTACGCACCCTCAACTTTGCCCAAAGACAGAAGTTTCACACTTGGGATTTTCTCTGTATCTATACCATTCTACACAAATACTACTTTAATATTTACTTTGAATATCCTTTCACCAAAAAATGATTTCCATCTATAATCTGCAAAACTTCTGTGCGTAAGGGCGGTTGATTTCTAAACAAAAATGCATCACAAGAAAGTTTCTAGAAAAAAAACAATATCACTGTACAGAATTGTATGCTACTACTAAAAGAATGTCACTTGGACAACCCTTTGATCTGTAAAAGGTGTCTTCTCAATAGAAATCAAGAGGAGAGGTCTGGTCAAGAGAAGACGACATGTAGGAACACACTGACAGCTAAGGTTGAAAACTAGCTAATTCGATAGCCTAAGTTTTTGTCCTGAATGCTCTGTAGCACAACTAAAATTAAGAATCATAAAAGTCCTCTCGAAACACAGCAGCCATTCAATCCAGAGTATCTGAAATTATGTGCACTATTTTGCAGAAGAGTTCGGCAATTTCCTCAGCATTTTACGGGACTGAGAAAGCACCACAAAGGCTCTAATTAGACCTCAGAAAAAAGATCGTCTATCTATGAAACATACTGAGTCACAAGTAGTACTATGCAAACCTCAACAATATGCATGTGAGGTGTGACAAAGACACAAGGCAGGGCAAAAACAAACTCCTTTAGAATTTAGAACAGCTTCAACCACGTTTCCATATTCAAAACTGGAAATAAAAAAAAAATCACAAGGCCCTGTAAGAAGATCCGACTTTACTAGGGAAACAGCCTGCTTGGCAGACAGCCCACCAATAAATTTACAGCAACTGCTTGTCAAATTGCCACTTTTACAAGGAAAAACATTCGAATACAAATCATTGTCCATCACACCTTGGAAAACGACAATACATGTAATACACATCTGTATTACTAGTTAGTAATTCAAATTCTGAAAGAAAATTCAGAGGCTGTATCTGACCTTTTCAAGAGGTTTGCCTGAAGAGACCCCAATAAGCTTCCAGTCATTCAGTACTTCTTCTATTTTTGAAATAAATCTATTAGGGGGAGGAAGAGGCATTAATACATGCTGGACACCAAACCTGTGTTGTAATTCAGGTCCCTAAAAGCAGGCAACATTGTCCTACTACAGAATCCTTTAAAAAAAACACCCCAAGAAAAAACAAGCAACAAAAAAAACATTCAAGTATCACCATAAAAACAGAACCTTGTACAAATAAAATGGTCCTCTCATGTTTACATTTAAGGTGATAGCTACTTTGAGTCATTACAGAATCTCACCTTTTTCTTTTTCTAGTATTGCAGCATTTAGTTTTAACACATACTCCTGTTACAGATAAATATGCATCCAACACAAAATTATAAACTAAATTCAAAGTGCAGCACTTAGAATCTTTGCCTCCTGTCAAAGTTACTGGAAAGAGCATTGTACAAAAATTACACATTAAGGATGCAAGAGCACTCTCGACTTTATATGTTCTTATACACTGCTCTAACTTCTGAAGGGTTCAGCTACAAGGTGACTATTTTAATACTCGGGCAACTACTTAATGAAACGCATAAGCCTTCTAGGCGTTTATTCTAATCCCTCGCAAACAGACACTACACCAGACCTTTCCCTAAGTTCAGATACGGCTTGACTTGACCCTCTTAACCGACCCGTCCGCTGCGCCCCGAGCCCCGGCTGCGGAGAAAGGCGG